GCTTTTCTACATTTTATGTGGTTTTAATAAAAAGTGTTTACATAATATACTGTAAGAATGTCTTACCATGTCCTTTCTGTTGTGGCACGGCCCTTGGCAGTGCTCGATCTCCTTTGGAAGCAGACTGGAGGGGAGTGAGCTCTGCATGGAGTAAGAGATTTACATATGTTGTTCGCCTCTGATTGGTGCAATAAATCTTGATGCTGCATTTGTCCTATAACTTTTAGGTGTTTGCATGTATCTTTGCAGGTTGCCTCACTACTCCTCATTAAAGTATTTTGAGTTTATATATTGATATAATTCATATATGGACAAACTTTACTTAACCCTCGATGGAAACTTTTTTCTTACTTTTGTGATACTTGTGTTTAGCACTATTTTACGTGTTTCGTGATTTTGTTTATGATGGTGTATTTTGGGTTGCACGTTTTATATACAGTGAGGAACAGAAGTATTTGAACACCCTGCGATTTTGCAAGTTCTCCCACTTAGAAATCATGGAGGGGTCTGAAATTCACATTGTAGGTGCATTCCCACTCTGAGAGACAGAATTAAAAAAAAAGGAAATCACATTGTATGATTTTTAAAGAATGTATTTGTCTTGCACTGCTGAACATAAGTATTTGAACACCTAAGAAAGAAAAAGCAAGAATTCACCTGTCCACCCCACAGTCAGTCAGACGCCAACTACTACCATGGGCAAGACCAAAGAGCTGTCAAAAAACACCAGAGACAAAATTGTGGACCTCCACAAGGCTGGAAAGGGCTACAGGGCAATTGCCAAGCAGCTTGGTGAAAATAGATCAACTGTTGGAGCAATTGTTAGAAAATGGAAGAGGCTAAAGACGACTGTCAGTCTCCATCGGACTGGGGCTCCATGCAAGATCTCACCTCGTGGGGTATCACTGATGATAAGAAAGGTGAGGAATCAGCCCAGAACTACAAGGGAGGAGCTGGTCAATGATATGAAGAGAGCTGGGACCACAGTTTCAAAGGTCACTGTCAGTAGAACACTACGCCGTCATGGTTTCAAATCATGCATTGCTTGGAAGGTTCCCCTGCTCAAGTCATCACATATCCAGACCCGTCTGAAGTTTGCCAATGACCATCTGGATGATCCAGACGAGGCATGGCAGAAAGTCATGTGGTCAGATGAGACCAAAGTAGAACTTTTTGGTCTAAACTTCACTCGTGTTTGGAGGAAAAAGGATGAGTTGCATCCCAAGAACACCATCCCTACTGTGAAGCATGGGGGTGGTAACATCATGCTTTGGGGGTGCTTTTCTGTGAAGGGGACAGGACGACTGCACTGTATTAAGGAGAGGATGAATGGGGCCATTTATTGTGAGATTTTGAGCAACAACCTCCTTCCCTCAGTCAGAGCATTGAAGATGGGTCATGGCTGGGTCTTCCAACATGACAACGACCTGAAGCACACAGCCAGGATAACCAAGGAGTGGCTCCATAAGAAGCATATCAAGGTTCTGGAGTGGCCTAGCCAGTCTCCAGACCTAAATCCAATAGAACATCTTTGGAGGGAGCTGAAACTCCATGTTGCTCAGCGACAGTCCCAAAACCTGACAGATCTAGAGGAGATCTGTGTGGAGGAGTGGGCCAAAATCCCTGTTGCAGTGTGTGCATACCTGGTCAAGAACTACAGGAAACGTTTGACCTCTGTAATTGCAAACAAAGGCTTCTGTACCAAATATTAACACTGATTTTCTCAGGTTTTCAAATACTTATGTTCAGCAGTGCAAGACAAATAAATTCTTTAAAACTCATACAATGTGATTTCCTGAATTGTTTTTTTAAATTCTGTCTCTCAGAGTAGGAATGCACCTACAATGTGCATTTCAGACCCCTCCATGATTTCTAAGTGGGAGAACTTGCAAAATCGCAGGGTGTTCAAATACTTCTGTTCCTCACTGTATATATATATAGCTGAGTTATTTGCACTATCCATAACTTTATCATCATTTTACTTTTTGGTGCTGCATTTACCCTATATCTCTTTTGTAACTGTATATGTGGTGAGATTTGTTAACTTTGTACAGTGTTGTGCCTTTAGGCCCCATTCACACCTGGATGTTTTGTAGCTCAAAGTTACAAAACACTAAACATTAAAAATCCCATAGTGGTGTTTCTTCACACTTGTGCATACAGGCACCGGTCGCTCAAAAAATATACAGGAACGTCTTTTCAGGTTTCAGGTTTAGTTTCTAGCCCCACAGGTTTCAATGGCAGTACCTAAAATAATTCACAAAAAAGATAAGTGTATGGGGCCAAAAATGCAGAATCCTGCACCAAAGATGCTTGACTCCTAAAACCTGCAAAAAAAAAAAAAAAAAAAGCACAAAAAAGGCTTTTAAAAACACTTATTCAGCACTCAAGTGTGAAAGTGAACTTTTTGTTTGTTTTTTCTATGAAAACATCAGTAAAAGCATCTTTAAACAATTTAACTGTGGCTAGGCTATGGGCATTCAAATATTCTTAAAGCGCTACTAAACTCCGAAACATTTACTTTAGCTCCAATGGTCCGACGCCTGCAAGGTCCCTTCACTGGCTTCTTCTGGGTGTCAGTATTCAACCATCTTGATTGGCCAGATGTCATTGCTCCTGCACATGCACAGGAGTCCATTCACCCTGGCACACAGGCACAGTGCTGGAATTTATACTGAGCTCTGTATGCGCATTCTAAGGAAGACTGCCAGCAGGTAGGTAGGTTTATTTTATTGCAGAAGAGACATCAAATGTCTCTTCTGCAATAAATAGCCTCCCTGTTCGAACTCTTTTGTTAAATGTGTTTAATTCCACTTTAACAATGTCACCTTCTCACTGCTTATTCTCAACTCTACAATTGCCACTTCACTATGCCTCAAACATGTGCATTTCACCTGGTTGCAGGGCAGCTACATAAATAGGTCGCTTTTGGTGGCGATACTGCTTACCGAACAACAACAGGGGTATCATTCTTGCTGGAAACATGATGTGTAGAAACGTTTCCAGCTGCCTTTTCAGCTTAACAGGGCAGCAAATACGCGGCTCAACCGCTGGTTACTGCTACTTGTCTGCAAGGGTATTTGAGTCAGGTTGGTGAGCTAACCTTTTTCTACCTAGTTATGTGATCCAGCTAAGTCACCTCCCAGCTCCCTGACTGATAAGCACAACCCTCAGCTCTGCATTTTTCATCTGGCAGCATGTTTGTCAGAAAACATGCACACCTAAATGACATCCTGAAGTAATCCTCCCAGCTTGAGTTCTACTGTACAGGGAATTATAAGAACCTAATGCCAAGACAAATTCCAGCACTGACACTAGTTGCATTTAAAAAATACTTTTGATGATTACATAATACTGCCTTAGTCATGACTTCTAGCAAATGTTTTTGCAGAGTTCTACATGATACGGTTTATTTTTATATTGTTTTGAATGCCCACATGGATTCCTCTCATTTTCTACCTTATAAGTGCTGAGCGCAGGGTAGATAGTTCCTTTTGTACTCATATCATCAGTTCCACTGCTGTAACGGAAGCTACTAGGAACAGCAGTGAGCCAATCGCACGAGCTGCAAAATGAACTTCTGGGGTAGTTCTATTCACCAAAAAATGTACAGAACAAGAAAGCCAAATCTTTGGATTTATGGACATTTATCTAGAAAAGTATAACAGCTGAATGTTTTAGAATTTTTTTTTGTACTTTGAATTCTTTTGCCTAGGAAGAGTTAGCTGAAGTGCCTTCACAATGACAAGACCTTGGTGATCATTCAAGGAAGGTGATATAGTTATTGACAGTAACAGGACAGTTTCGGATAGAGTAAAGGATTAGACCTGTCAGTTTTTATTGCTGTCTGTGCCTCCGTTAAGGAGATTCAGCCTATTTGTTCTGTTTACCATTATCATTGAAAGTGAAAGTAAAAGAAAATCCCACATTTTGGGTTTTCCTCGGAAATGTAATTAGAGGGAAAATCTTCCAAGGGGGACACTAGTTCTGATGACCTGGGGGTTCCCAAGGAGTTCTTTAAATTTGCAGGGATTTCTTCTCAGTTCCTGTTTGGCTATGGGGCAGTAAGTGAAGGTAAATTGCTGCGATGGGACATGTGGCAAAAAAACTGTCAAGGGGCTATGACCCACTCTTGCTCTATCCAAAATGGGAAAAAAAAGTTTTACTTTCATACTTTTTCACAGCTAGGATTTTAAATAAAAGCAATACACAATGTTTTTTTCCCCCATAACCTTTAAAGCAGTATTTAACCCAAAAAACAAAATGTAATACACTGCAGTTTATCCTTAGATGTAGTGACTGCATTGGATTTTTTTTAGACTTTTTTCCTTTTTTTTTACCTTTATTTTTTGGGTTTAATACCATTTAAAAGGCAGACGTCACCTTTTAAATGTTTGTTCTATACTTAGATTGTAGCATGTAACATAGTGCAAGTAGTCCCCCCACATCCCCAAACTGTTGCCCCTTCTGCTAGTGTGCATGGACTCTTCTTCTGGTGAGAGCTCAGTTTTGAATTTTGCACTGCTGTGTGGCATCTGTTAATGAATGAATTACAAGTCCCATCTGTCACTGGGGCAGATGAACTTGTAGTTCTCAAACTCTCCAATGAGGGTAAAAACTGTCCCAAAAATTAGGGCATGTGTGAAGTGTATGTTGTTGTGCTGTGCCTTCCTGTTCCATTGAGCCACATTGCCAATTTTGCCCTGGTGTCAGAGGGAGAATGTGAAAGGAAAATTTCCATATAGATCCACAAAAAGTAATAAAAACATACTGAGTATTCAAACCCTTCCTAACACTATATAGAAATCAAACAAAGTTATGTTTTGAATTGTGCTTTAATTCTTGGACTGCTGGAGCTAATCATTATTTCCCACAAGTGATATAAGGTTTTACAATCAATACCATTATCATCCAGGACTGGAAAAATTAAAATTATTCTAAAAATAATTACAAAGGTTTTTGCATGTTTAACACTTTCATACATGTTTCAATTTTAATTTTTAATTTGCAGTTTCATTTTCAGCATCATGATAAATGTTTGTATCACAATCAATTTGTGGCTCATTTGGTGAAAACTGGATGTTCATACTGTTTTGATTGCCTATTTGCACATTGCTGGCATGGCTGATCTGTATAACTGGAGTCTGTCCATGAAATGCAGAGTGAATTGGAGGTTGGGTTTGGTGTGGTGAAACAGCAGTGGCTTCACCCATCAGCCATTGTAGGGAAATATTTTGTGGTTGAAAATCTGACATAATTCTTTTCCTTTCCCACAGTTCATTCTGGTTCCTAATTACTTCCTGCTTGAATGTGTTACGCACTTTAGTTTTAAAGATAGGAGAACTTTCATCCAAGGCAATCAAGGTTCTTAGCCACATTGGCATTGTACAATCTGTTTTTCTTTTTTCTTGGGGATAAAAAGGAATGACACTCCCCAGTTTGTGAGCCTTTTCTATAGAATTCATCATTGCTGTAGTACTCTGGAAGTCACCCCATGTAGCGTTCAAAAAAGCATTAGTGAGCAAAAGTACAATATATGCACTGTTTTCTACCGCATTTTCAAGACACGTTAAAAGGCTAACTCCTGGAGTCTCAAATCCCTCACCAAACGTTGTACCTTTGCCAACCACATGGTGTTCTAAAACATTACAAACCCTGCTAGCTATCTCTTGGTCTTCAGGGGCATGAAAAATGACAAAACTGAAAAACTGGTCTGAAGAATTAATAGAAGGGGAAGAATTAACAGAAGGAGATGGAGTCATATCAGAACTAGAAAATATGTTACATATATGTGATGCTGGCTCAGACAAGACATTGCTTTTATGAATAGTTACGCCAAGAGATAATTCATGCATTTGTTCTGAAAGGTTTGAATTGGGTGGAACTGGAAAAGTTTGAGAACTATGCGAAAGAACTTGTCCATCAGTGTTCTTGTTTTCTGAGACTGCCTCCTCATTTCTCTTGCTTGTCAAACACAAATGACTAGAAGATTGCTGGATTTTCTCCTGATTGGTGGTACATAGATTGCTAGGGAGTTCTGAAGAGGCAGGCTTGCAGCTTGAACTTTCATTACAAATAGTACTCATACAAGGAGTCTGTGTGTCCAATACAGAGCACTGGCTCTTGCGTGGTTCATCAATTAAGGCTCTGGTAGGTGACTGGCTAATTTCCAAGGCATTGGATATAGGAGACAAAGAATGGTGTGATGGTCTTAGTATTGAAATCACTGGACTGCATAGATCTGAGCGTAAAGTATGTGGGGCCTCATCAAGATCTGTGTTTGAGTGATTTCTCAACATACTCATTTACTTTTTAATCTTATTATTATCCAGCTATTTTGTCACTTTTCTTAGAAAAATATATCAGAATACAAGATGGTAAGCAGAAGCAAAGTAGCACAAACTTGCAAGACATGCCATTAATTAGGAACTTTAAGCAGGGAGAGATTCACCAGAAGAGTTGCGAGTGCCCTGGTTAAATAAGCATAAAAAGAAAAAAAAAAAAAAGTTAATGGTTCTATATAATGTATAAAAAAAAACACATTTTTTATATATATTTATAAACTAGAATGCACATTTGAAGTGTTCGGATAGTCCAAAAGCATGTGAAAAAGAAGTATAGTACAATATAATTTCTGAGTGACTATACAAAACCAGTTACAGTATTTTCAAATGTACAAAACATAGGGTCACACTTGTCCTTACTGGGGTTCAAACATTTGACTTTGAAAAAATTTTGTGTTTAGCACTAAAGACACCTTCTGGTTTACCAATACACGTGTATCTATGGGAATTTAATGGGTAATTCTTTCTGCAATTATTTAAGACAAAAAATAAACATCAGTATTCATTTGCTATGGATAAAGCTTGCACCTATTGACTCCTCCTTGGATTGCAAGGAAGAAAACTGATCGATTCCCCTATCAACACTGAATGTGGGTGAATCCCTCCCATTGAGCTTTTGTATTCTGACAGCAGATTTCCAAGCCGTCAGAATACAATGATCGCTGCCAGATGCAATAGCCACCAGCAGTCACTGCATGTAAAAATAAAGAAGTACAGGCTGGTTGTACTGAAGTGTATTGAGCAAATCGGCGTCAGTACCCACCAACCTGCCAATAAATGTATCAAAATTCAGCTGGTTCAGCAGTAGCTTCCATCCATCCATGCCCGGCTTAAGTAACCTGCACATTCCCTTTTCATAGTCTCATATGTTTTGCATTTGCATTACAATACTCCTTCCTTTGTCTTGTTCTTTGATGAGAACTTTGTTGTCTATAAATGTATTTAACCCCTTCATGGCATAGGGTAAAACAAATCTTAACGCCTGACCAGTTTTTCAACTTTGACGTATTCGTAAAACTGCACATGTAATTGCAACCACTTAGTGTATCTAGGTGAATTACAGTGCATCCAGAAAGTATTCACTGCGCTTAACTTTTGCCACATTTTGTTATGTTACAGCCTTATTTTAAAATGGATTAAATTACATTTTTTCCTCAATATTCTACAAACAATACCCCATAATGACAACGTGAAAGAAGTTAATTGTGAAATCTTTGCAATTTATTAAAAATAAAAAACCCACATGTACATAAGTATTCACAGCCTTTGCTCAATACTTTGTTGAAGAACCTTTAGCACTCATTACAGCCTCAAATTGTTTTACGTATGATACCACAAGCTTGGCACATCTATTTTTGGGCAATCTCTCCCATTCTTCTTTGCAGTACCTCTCAAGCTCCTACAGGTTGGATGGGGAGCGTCGGTGCACAGCCATTTTTAGATCTCTCCAGAGATGTTCAATCACATTCAAGTCTGGGCTCTGGCTGGGCCACTCCAGGACATTCACAGAGTTGGCCCCTAGCCACTCCTTTGTTATGTGGGCTGTGTGCTTAAGGTAGTTGTCTTCTTGAAATATGAACCGTCGCCCCAGTCTAAGGTCCAGAGAACTCTGGAACAGGTTTTCATTAAGGATGTCTCTGTACATTGCTGCATTCATCTTTCCTTCGATCCTGACTAGTCTCCCAGTTCCTGCCACTGAACAACATCCCCACAGCATGATGCTGCCACCACCATGCTTTACTGTAGCGATGGTATTGGCCAGGTGGTGAGCGGTGCCTGGTTTCCTCCACACATGACACTTGGCATTCAGGCCAAGAGTTCAAGCTTTGTTTCATCAGACCAGAGTGTTTTGTTTCTCATGGTCTGAGAGTCCCTCAGGTGCCTTTTGGCAAACTCCAGGTGGGCTTCCATTTGCATTTTACTGAGAAGTGGCTTCCGTCTGGCCACTCTACCATACAGGCCTGATTAGTGGAGTGCTGCAGAGATGGTTGGTCTTCCGGAAGGTTATCCTCTCTCCACAGAGAAATGCTGGAGCTTTTTCAGTGACCATCGGGTGCTTGGTTACCTCCCTGGATAAGGCCCTTCTCCCTTGATCGCTCATTTTGGCCGCGCGGCCCACTCTAGGTAGATTCCTGGTGGTTCCAATCTTCTTCCATTTAGTGACAATGGAGGCCACTGTGCTCATTGGGACCTTCAACGCTGCAGAAAGTTTTCTGTACCCTTCCCCAGATCTGTGCCTTGATACAATCCTGTTTCGGAAGTCTACGGACAATTCCTTGCACTTTATGGCTTGGTTTGCACTCTGACATGCACTGTGAATTGTGTGACCTTATATAGACAGGTTTATGCCTTTCCTAATCATGTCCAATCAACTAAATTGCCCACAGGTGGACTCCAATCAAGTTGTGGAAACATCTCCAGGATGATCAGTGGGAACAGGATGCACCAGAGCTCAATTTTGAATGTCATGGCAAAGGTTGTGAACACTTATGTACATGTGTTTTTTTTTTTTTTTTTTGCTCTTTTATTTTTATTAAATTGCAAAGATTTCAAAACAAACTTTCACGTTGTCATTATGGGGTATTGTTTGTAGAATGTTGAGGAAAAAATAAATTTAATCCATTTTGGAATAAGGTTGTAACATAATAAAATGTGGCAAAAGTTAAAACGCTGTGAATGGTTTCTGGATGCACTTTATACCTTATTATTCCTAGACAAATGGGGCTTTCATTTGGTGGTAAATGGCAATGTTATCACCGGATTTTTTTTTTTTTTTTTTTTATTATCATCAAAGAAACCGGTACAAAATTGAGAAAATAAATTTTGTAAACCATATATTCCTGGCTAATACCATAACCTACCACCACACAACAACCCAAAATAAAACGTCCTGATTCCAGCAATATTACATATATGCAGAGATGCACATTTTGCATTTTTTTTTTTTAATCATACCTACAACACACGGACAATAATTGTCACTGATACTAAATGAAAATTATTTTTTTTTAATTCTACCTAAAATACACTGACCCTGACATTAATGGCTGGTACATTAAATAGCGACCGGTATGGGCCAGTTCAACAGAAACAGACCAACATTCAGCCCTTGTGTACAGCAGCCTGTCTGACAGAAGCCAGTCTAATGACAGACTTTCATTGAATGGGTATGCTGTAAATGATTTTGAACAGAGCAGTCCAGATTCTTCTCAGGTCCCCGCCATTGCTCCTACTCCTCCTGCCTTTTGAGATGCTAAGGGGGCACTCGTGGGTTCAGTCCCGAGCCAGACTGTGTGCGTCTACTGATACACACATTGCTGCTTGGCCCTACTCCCTCCTCAAAGGATTTTATTGACAGCAGCAGGAGCCAATGGCTCCCTCAGCTGTATCTGAGTCCTGTGAGGAAGAAGAGTGAGAGCAGCACTGCTGCTCTCTGGGACAGCGATGGATACTTACCTGTATTTAGAGGGGGCTGAGTGAGAGCTGGTCAAAATAGGCTTTTTACTTTAATGCATTAAATGCAAAGTCAGAAAACTAAGTCCTGCTAGACCACTTCAGGCTGGCACCTTTTTTTATTTATAATGTAAAACATTATAAATAAGTGTCTACAGTGCTTAAAATCCAGTAATCGACTGTCTCACATTACTCTGCACATGCTCAGTTGCTCTCTATTTTATGACATTTTGCTGAAAATCAGAGGCACTAGAGGCTGTTCTGCTGACAGCCTAATGATTTTCTGTTTCTCAGGGAGTCTGGGTTCAGCAAAATGGCAGCCTCCAGCAAGAAGAAAGAGGAGTAATGGTAGAGGCAATTTACAGCACACACTAATTTTGGTAGCATAATTAAGAATGTGGAATCTACAGTATGTCCCTAGCTAAAGAACATTATTTTTTAGCACGTTGTCATGAGTAAATTCCACTTTAAACCACTTGAGCTCCTGAGGATTTACCCCCCCCCCCCTTAATGACCAGGCCTCTTTTTGCTACTCAGCGCTGCACTAATTCAACTGATAATTGCGCGGTCATGCAATGCTGCACCTAAACGAAATTTACGTCATTTTTTTCACACAAATAGAGCTTTCTTTAAGTGGTATTTGATTCCTGTGCGTACCCGCAATTTACGACATTTTTTTGCTATACAGAGCTGCGCTAGTGGTAACGGGGACAATTGCCGGGTCATGCCAATACGGTACATAAATGAAATTTATGTCCTTTTTTTAACACAATAAAGCATTCTTTTGGTGGTATTGATCACCTGTGCACTTTTCATTTTTGGCGCTATAACCAGAAAAATTTTGGGAAAAAACACAATATTTTTCCTCATTTTTGGTCATAAAAAAATATCTAAAAAAAAACTAAAATTTTCATCATAAATTTAGGCCAAACTGTATTCTGAGGCTTACATGTTTTGGTTATTTAAAAAAAAAATCCCATAAGTGTATATTGATTGCTTTTTGTGAAAGTTTTATAGCGTCTACAAACTATGATATAGATAATGGTAATTTTTGGCACAGCTTTTACTTTTCGGACTACTCATCACCTTTTCTTAAAGGTGCTTAAAATACCAGAATAGTAAACAAACAATACCCTCAAATACCCTTTTTTGGAAAGATTAGACACCCTAAACTATCTGCTAAGAGGCATATTGATCCATGAAGATTTATTTTTATCCCCACAAGTTTCTGGAAAAATGACAAAAACTTTTTGTTTTTTTTTACAACAAAAGTTGTCATTTAAAATGATTATTTCTCGCACAAGCATGGTATATGTGGAAGTACAAACCCCCAAAATACATTCTGCTACTTCTACTGAGTATGGGGATACCACATGTTGTGAGAACTTTTTGGGAGCCTAGCCCCATGCAGGAGCCCTGAAATCCAATGACCACTTTGAAAGCCTGAAGGTGCAGTAACTTCCTCATTACACTTCCTCACTACTATCACAGTTTCGAAGGCCCTGACA